CAAGGGGGGTGCATTGTAGGGCCAAAGGTGAGTGAGAGGGACTTCGAAGGGCGGCTTTGGAGCGAAATTCGCAATAGTTTCCTTGGCTGCAGCTTCAGCCGCCTCTAGTGCTTTCTGTTGTAACTCTTTTGCAGAAAGAAGGGAACGTTCGCAGCCTGACAGTTCTTCAGGGGCGTCTGAAGAGCCCTCAGTATCTTCATCGGTCTCGCCTTCAGTTACAAAAGGCAAGCGGCCAAAGCCACTAGTGCAGTTACTAGACAAGGGATCAGCGAATGCTTCAGTTGCGGCTTCAGGGGGCTCCAACAACCAGGCATTATTTTTCTTCTTCAGGTGAAGCTTGCTGGTTTTCCCGACAGGCTTCTCGTTTGCAGGTTGTTTTTCTGCCTGAGTTTGGAGCTGGCATTGCTTTGCTGTTGTCCTTGAGGTATATTCTCCTTCGCCTACATTTGCTCCCTGCCCCCAGTCTTGGCGAACTACATCGGCAGCCGCCTGCGCCGCCGCGACGCTGGAGTTTCCTTCTGGGTGGATCACAACCTGGGCTTTTCCAGTGTATATCTCATGACTTAGCACTTTAACTGTTACAAAGCCCTCTTCTGTGCTGTGCGTCCAGGCGAGTGTGCCGTCGAGTGCATTTTGCACGTCACTCTCCGGGCACATTTTGAACGCATTACTCATGATCCCGCCCTAGAATTGTTCCGACGGGGTTCATACTTTAGCCGTGGCCAGAAAAGAGCAGATTCATGTTGATATGTGCAGATTTCACGGTCTTGGTCTTCTGCAGGCCTTGAAATCCTTAACATAACGTGCAAAGGTAGCGGTGGTGTTGATCCGGTCTGGTAAATCGTCTTCGGCTTTCAAGAACGAATACGGATCCGAACACTAGATATCTACACCAATAAACCCCATATGAGGCAGTTTCAGCTATGGGGGACTGGAAACTTTGTATGCTGCGCTTTCTGCGATTTCGCCCTCCCAGCGGAACCACAGCCGAATTGGTCCTTTGACGGATCGAGTCGCCATACAAAGAGCACACGCTTGCCTTCTTAATTTCCTCCAAAACCAAAGATATTGGTTAATTTTGTATGTCTTGGGAAGCGATTGCGTTTTCTACCGCGCCAGAAACGTAAACGAGTGCTCTGAGCTGGGAGGAGCTTAGCTGTCGGAGCTGTCCTTGGCGGCCTGCCGTCGAACACAGCGAACGCCTCAAGAGATCCTATGAGGTACTAACGAGGCTGCATTCACAAATCTGCAGCATGAGGATAAAATATTGAGGAGCTGCGCTAATCCTTTGTAAAGACAAGGCATTGGGGCCCACTACTGACCGTGAAGCCCCGATGCACGAGGCGATTCTCATGTCTGGCTCTACAGGTATGCTGCAACGGAAACTTATTCGTCTATGGATATGATGCAACGCGGTTACTTTTATTTTTGGAAAAAGTACATTGAAAAGCTCCCTAATACGGGACTTCCGTGGAGAAGGACGGCGGAGCGTGTCACTGGTTGCGGTCGGTCGGTGTTGCCCTTTATAAGATGCTGTGGATGCATTTCAATTCGCTTATTGCTTTGAATTCGTCTCATATGGCAACCAGAATGTGATCTTTATTTTCTGGGAGTAGGTTTTATCTGTAATTAGATTAGTCGTGTAGCGATTGTCCCCCGGTTCGAGCACATCATTGAAGCGGGGGCTGGGCTTCTCCACAAGCCGCTTGCCCGCTAAATTTCATGCCTCTTGAGGTATCTTTGTCCATCAATGCTGAAATTATTAAGGTTTTTTCTCAGTTTCAAGATGCCATGAGAATGGCATCCGTTCAGCTGGTTGTTCCTGTTGCTTCGAGTCGGCTCCATTGTTGTGTCTAAGACGCTGTGGGAATCAGTTTGAGTGCTGAAATGGTTTTCACAGATGTACCCATGTGGCGACTATCCTTAAAAAGCAAATTAGAAGTAAAGAATTGTTTCTGACTTTCACAAAGCATATGCGAAGAGTCGAAGTCATTGAATTCAAGCGCAAGAGTGCTCCCGTTACGCTGTGGCTGAACGCATAGTACTACTACTACTACTACTACTACTACTACTACTACTACTACTACTACTACTACTACTAGTGGCTACTGTACGAGATTCATCTCAATATTGAAACTTAATGTTGCCAGTTTAGAACTTTGTACGTTTCGCACTGTAAAGCCCTTTACTTTGAGTCTCCCAGTGCGTCTTCGTACGGGGCTATGCGCCCTAAACAGAACCATTATGGAACCTTATCTTCATCTTCAGTACTTCGAGGCGATACCATTTCCTCCAGAGCTCTTATATGTCGTGAAGACATTTCTAGCTTTTATTCTGGCTACTTGCTTTAGTGACAGCCGCCTCAGGCTGCTTTATTACCCCCTCCACAATATTCAGTTTTAGAAGTTTCCCCTAACAATAGTTCCTATTCATTTCGTAATTGCCTTGCGCTGCTCTTAT